AGGGCTGCCCCATGTAGAGCGCATTGCAGTAGTCCAGTCTTGAGGTCACGAGGGCGTGAGACTTATATACCACTTCACAGTGCTTTTACAGCCCTCCCTAAGCGGTTTACAGAGTCAGCGTCTTGTCCCTCCAACAATCTGGGTCCCCATTTGACCCACCTCGGAAGGACGGACGGCTGAGTCAATCTTGAGCTGATCAGGATCGAAGTACAGGCAGTTGGCAGAGTCAGCCTGCAATGGTGCATTCTTACCACCATGCACCATGGAAGGGAGGAAAGGAAGGAAGGAAGCAAGGAAGGGCGCGAGGGAAGGAAGGAAGGAGAAAAGGAAGAGCAATAGCTCTTAGACTTATATACCGTTTTACAGTACTTTACAGCACCTCTCTAAGCGGTTTACAGAGTCAGCCTCTTGCCCCCCAACAATCTGAGCCCTAATTTGACCCACCTCGGAAGGACGGAAGGCTGAGTCACTCTTGAGCCGGTCAGGATCGAACTCATGGCAGTGGGCAAAGTTAGCCTGCAATACCACATTCTAACCACTGTGCCATCAGGGCTCCTATTGCAACATCCAATCAACTACAGCAATAGCAATAGCACTTAGACTTATATACTGCTTCACAGAGCTTTACAAATTTTTCAACTGCTGTGTTGCAATATTTTCGGGGAGGGCTTATTTTAGCGCATGCGCATCAAAGGCCTGATTGCGCTTATTATCCAGGGAGGTCTTATTTTCAGGGAAACAGGGTAGCACCTAAAACTTAGACTTATATACCGCTTCACAGTGCTTTAACAACCCTCTCTAAGGGGTTTACAGAGTCAGCCTCTTGCCCCCCAACAAATCCGGGTCCTCATTTGACCCACCTCGGAAGGACGGAAGGCTGAGTTAACCTTGAGCCAGTGAGATTCGAACTGCAGCTAGCAGTCAGCAGAAGTAGCCTGCAGTACTGCACTCTAACCACTGCGCCACCTCGGCTCTAAGCCACTATAAAACCACTCTCTATAAACCACATATTCATAAACCGCTATGTAGCATTCAGGCTAGTGTAGAGAAAAGAAGGACTAGGGGGTGATATGAGGGTACTATGCCAGTATTTGAGGGGCTGCCATAGAGAGGAGGGGGGCCAGCTCATTCTGCAAGGCACCAGAGGGCAGGACAATGGATGGAAACTAACCAAGGAGGGGAAGCAACCTGGACTGAAGGAGAAACTTCCTAACAGTGAGGACAATTAACCCGTGGAACTGCTTGCCACCAGAAGTGGTGGGTGCTTCATCCCTGGAGGTTTTTAAGAAGAGGCTGGACAGCCAGCTTGTCTGAAACGGTGTAGGATCTCCTGCTTGAGCGGTGGGTTGGGCTAGAAGACCTCCAAGGTCCCTTCCAGCTCTATTCGGATTGATTGGCTGACTCGTGGCTTCCCTACAAGCACCCCAAGGTCTCTTTCGCCTCCTTTTCAAAATGACTCCCTGGGCGCAAACCAGTGGTGAGATTCAGCCGGTTTCGCACCTATTCGGGAGAACTGGTTGTTAACTTTCTAAGCAGTTGGGAGAACCGGTTGTTGGAAGAAATCTCCTTTTGTTTCCCCCCACTTTTCGGGGCTAATCCTGTAAGGAAGGCAGGGAGGAAACATTCTGGTGTTGTTTCTAGCCTAATCTTTATTTTACCCTGCTTACAGAAACTGCCCCTCCGGTTAACCCTTATTCCATTGTAACAGCCAACGCGAAGCACCCATAGATGTGAGTGACATTGAGTTGGCCACGCCAACCCAGTCACATGACTACCGAGCCCCACCTACCCAGCTGGTGATTAGGACAGAGAACCGGTTGTTAAAGTATTTGAATCTCACCACTGGCGCAAACCCAGCCCAGGTGTGGCTTTTGTTGCTTAAAGGAACGCAATCTTGTATTGTCCCCTCCGGCCCTTCGCTGCCTTTCAAAGGTGAAGTGAAGGCAGGTGGGTCAGAGAGGGTCTTAAGGGGTGGGTGGGTGTCTCTCCTCTCTTCCAGGGCATGATCACTCTCGTCCTGAACTGCATCGACCGCCTCAACGTCTACAGCACGGCCGCGCACTTTGCCGAGTTCGCTGGGGAGGACGCGGCCGAGTCGTGGAAGGAGATCGTCAACTTGCTCTACGAACTCTTGGGTGGGTTGAGCCGTGAACGGGATCCAATCATATTTGGGTGACCGGCGACGGTGTTACTCGCTTGCTTGACGAAGCCACTCACCACCAACCCCTCTGGCGTTAGCTTTGTGAGATCTCCTGGAGGAGGGGTCTGCTGGGCGCCTAGGTGGTTGTGGGTGCAGAAAGCAGGCTTGTTCATGGAGTCCTTGGTGCTCTCTGAGCTTGGTGGTTTTCTTGCAGATGTTTCAACACCCAACTAGGTAACACCATCAGTGCTAGAAGAGAGGGGGATTGTGGGGAAGAGGAGGGGAGGAGGAGAATGATGAAGGGGAGGAAGAGGAGGAGGAGGAGGAAGAGGACTATGGGGTCCTTGGTGCCCTCTGAGCTTGGTGGTTTTCTTGCAGACTTTTCATGACCCAACTAGGTAACCTCATCAGTGCTAGAAGAGACGGGGG